TGCGCTTTTCGGGCAGCTGGGACCTGACACGGGACGCGTCTGGATGCTAAGCCCACACCTGCGACAGGCGTATCCCAGGGAGACGATGGACCAATCAAGACAGCTCGCGTCTCTGGTTGACTGGTCGCGTCAACAGCCCCCATCGTTACGTCGAATCAGAGCAGACGCTCTGTTGCGCAATCATGCACGGAAGGGGTGATCCTACGTATTGCTGCCGCTCGCCTCACTCTTTAGTCCAGTCGCCTTTGCTTTTTCCTGGTTCTCCTCTGGCTCACTCGGCCTCTGGGGACCTCCCATGCTCTTTTGAGGCCATGTCTTGCTCCATAGGTGCAATTCATGTGTCCATCGCCATCTGCCGCCCTGACCATCTTGACCCGATGCTTTTTGCCCCGCCATTAGGCGATCCAAACGGCGAAATGCGGCATCTCACCATCCTGGAATCTGGAAGCTCGACATTGGTGGTAGGTTTACATGATTGACAGCTCGCTACAGCCGTCCTGTTTGGGGTCGCCAGCATGGCCCGGTCATGGAACCAAGGCAAGGTACGATCGGGCCATCGCGGTCGGTCAGTGAGCCAGCCCCCTAGTTGGCCTAGTTGGGGGGCCGTCTGAATGTGAACAAAGGGGTCCCGCTGCTTTTACGCCTTATTGAAAACGAGTGATGGCTGTGTTTGCACAGCACAGCCACATGTGCACAAAATGTCGACATGGGGCCGTTGCCCCACGTTCACCAACAGCCAACGTGGACGACATGTGAGACTACAGGCCATTGCTACCCAAAAAAGAAAAAAGTATAGGAACTTTATTGAGAATATTGATTATCAACGGCATTTCCCAGCATTCCATAGTGGTCTAACTCAGAGCCTTGACATTTCTGCTTTTCACGGATACTCATACACAGTTGGCAGCACTCAAATTACTGAACCGTCTGCGCCTTGAACTCGTAGACCAGGCATCCAATCTGGATATTCCCGCCTACACCGCCATTGTTGCACTTTCTGTAGTTGTCCCGCATAGTGTCATAGCAAAGCTTGTAGTCCAGCTTCCCGCTGTTGAACGGGTCCGTAGAATACGCCTCATCCGGTCCTTCCGACACGCAACCGTGCTTCCAGTAAATGTTGAATTGATAAGGCACATCATTCGTCACGGTCGCCCACCGTCGGAACGTTGACTTGTCGCCTTGCTTGATGGGCCACTCAGACGATCTGTAACAGGGATACGAGCTGTAATCGCGCACCATGCTGGGTTGGATGTCGCCGTGGTCACCGAACGCGTCGGCGGCGAAGCAGAAACGAGGGAATACCTTCAAGGGCGTCTTGGCGGGAGTGATGGGATCAGGCATGGGGGGCTCCTTTGGCGAGTAGACGACCTTCTCTTCAATCGCATAGTCGAAAATCCCACAGTCCACGTTCACCTTGCCGCTCTTGGCCATGAGAACGCCCGCGGCTAATAGAACACCCTTCGGTCAGAACTGCAAGCTATGGAGCCTCATAAACATGCATGAAAACTCGCCTCCATTGTTCTGGCAAGCTGTTGCCAGCGTCAAGTACGCCTTGTTGCAGTCCATCACGCATTTCTTCTTCTCTTCGGCCGGCGTGAAGCGCAGCCTAAAGTCGTACTTGGAGTAGTTGCTTGGATCCGGAGAGAGGGAGTCCGCCGTTTGGAGGGAAACGCGACTCCTCGAACTGGGGCTTTCCTGTCCTCGCCTGAAGCACCGACAATCATCTCAAGCTTGGTGCTCTCATCCCACTGTTCGCAGAAGCGGCTGGAGACCTTATTCTTCGACGAATAAAAGACGTTGGACGGTATCTCACTCAGCTTATCGTGTTCGCATTTCGGGGAGTTTGGCGGGCCGATAGACTCAAACAGGTCTGCGATGATAATCATCGACTTTTGCTCCTCGTCAGAAGCAATATTCTCAATGCTCTCCGAAGGCGCATTGCACTCGCAGCCTTGGTGTTCGCTCTGTTCCGGTCAACGTCAGTCGAATCCCTTTGCCAAAATGTTCGGTGAGGCTATCAGGGGTGTAACTCGACTTACATCCTTACATGTAGGTTCGTCATCCAATGTTTCTGGGAGCTTGACGTCGCAATCATCTGTTTCTTTGCCGAACCCACACAGAAGCTGGTAATGATAGGAGGATCAGCAAACGCAGGCATGTAAAGAGTACGGTACGTGGAACTCACTGGGGTTGATTCTGGGTCCGGGCAACTTGTCGGCGAAGCCGTTGGTGCCTCTGTCCTGATCAGTGATGCCTCAATCCTATTATTCTGGTTGACCGGCCTGTTCTCAATCAATGTGTTGACTGCCAACGCAAACAGCAGGTTCCCTAGTTGTTCAGCAAGAGTTTGGACTAATGTCCAGCATTGGCGCGTATGCCCGGACAAAGTCTGACGCAACATTTGCCGCCCGGGCAACGGCGCCAGCTCGTCTCGGCAAAGTCGAAGGACAGATGAGCTGTATTGTTGAGAAGAAGGTCGTTGAACGGGCCCCCCCTTTGACTCATGACTGCCACTGCCTCCGCCGCGCAGATGGCTTTGCCAAAACCGCCATTTGCGCGTTTCCTCCTCATCTTGTCTCCGCGGTCAAAGGCACGGCCATCATCGCAGTCTTGAGATCTGTGCATGACCTCGTCAATACGTGATGCAAGGTCCTCATCCAGAAAGGCGACAAGATCACCACTCGAGCTGTCTCCCTCTGGCTCCGTGACGGGAGTGACGGAAGGAGTCTGTGACCTGGCAGGAGAATCAAAAGTTAGTCTACTGAAACAACTGTCTTTCTTGCTTCACATACCCCTGAAGTACTGTCGGATCTGGTGTTGATGTGATAGTCGCCACGGCCGTGCCGTCTGCAGAGACGACTACTCCAGCCGTCTTTAATTTGGAGGCCTGGCTTGCGATCTCATGGGGCACAAACATGCCTGTGGGCTTCTCTTGCTTCATGGCCCAGTTGGATATAAGGACCCCAGCGATGAAAGAGAAGACAGAGCCGACTTTCTTGAACGTCTTGGACAGGAACTGCACAAAGCCGCGACGCTCAAGTTCTCCGTCGATCTGCAGATCCGCATTGCGAAGCAGTTGACGGACCTCCTGGTAGCACTTGTCGTCAACCTCGCCACAAGCTTCCAAGATGCCGTGGATCTTGGACTGGGTCTCGGCTGAGAGAGACACATCGTAACCATTGCCTTCCTTTCCAGACAGCCAGACTGTGGTTCCACTGAGTGAAGGCGCTTTGACATCCTGAGTTTCTCGGTCAGTATTGGCCAACCAAGTGCGAGGACACGGGGTGAAGAACCCACCGTTCTGGGAGAGAATTGTTCCAAATCCCCAAGATCGAGAACCTCTCCCGATAGAACTCCCGCAAAGACAGTAAAGAGTAGATAAAACAACAGATTCATAAGATTCATAGTGGCTTGCAATATCTCAAATATGCTTTTTTCTTTTCCAAAATAGGGCTCAGAGAGTCTGGGCGATTAAAGACTACCCCACCAAGTCAGTCGTGGACAGCAGATATGGACAGTACCTTGTTTTATCATGGCAGAGCCTGGGACTTAGTAAATTTCGCCCCCGTGTCAGACATGGTGAAGACCCCATGCAATAAAAGTGTACAGCTCAAGAACTGGCATCTGCGGCTATGAGTTCGTGCTCTACGCGCCCCAGGTCGGCATTTGGGCCGTGGCTTCAACGTCCAACGCGGCAAGTAATCGAGGTTGGTCCACGCAAGGTGAGGCACAGCACCAAGTCACGACCTGTATCATTGCCTGATAAACGTTGGTTCAAGAAGATTGCATGATGGCGGTTGGCCCCTAATGCGCCACATTGTATGGCCTGGGGCCTCTTTTTTTGAGAATTTGATCGTTGGGGCGGAGCGGTGGCCTGGATGTCGGCTTGTTGGCGCTGATGAAACAGGGGCTATGCAGGAACAATCTGGGGGCGGTTGTTCGTCCCAACAATTATATACGGGAACTTATCAGTTTTCATACTCATGATGTGCGCATGGTGATTCGGAGCTCAGTATGGCCATGATGCTCTCATGAGGTGCACTCGAAGAGTGTGACAAGGCAGAGATGAATTGTGTTGGCCCCCTCAAAGACCCCTCCTGTCACAGCATGCCGGCTGCCCTACCACGATGAAACCCCCAATTAGGCGTACTTGATCACGACATTTGGATTTCAAGCATATCGGTGATGAGGCTTCAGCATGAAAGCCCATAGCTCATGATTCAGTCTATGTTTGGCCGCATAGGTTATTCTTGGTTCGCTGTCTTGTCCTGACATCGGAGGGGCAGTGTATATCTTGGGCTTCGGCCTCAACTCTGTGCTCTGTTCATGTTCGGTGCTCCAAGCTCAGCTCATCATCAAAAAATTACCAACATCAATACTGAACAATATCTTGTTTTCGCAACGTCCCAATAAGCTGCCACAATGAAGCTTGCTTTCGTCCATCTGCTAATCAACCTGAGTTTCTGTCTGGCTGTGCCGGAATTTTCCCTTGCGCCATCTTGTGGTAAGTCTTTCATTCGATTTTCATACGGAACCTATTTCTGTTGCAAGCGCAATCTAATGCTCATCAGATAATGACGGTGATTTTCGTCGTCGAGATGGTATCATTGGCCAGATACTAGATGCCATCGGACTTGCAAGAAATGCACACAGAATCCTCACTGACCATATTGATGACAAATATGTACTGGACATGACCAAGGCAATGCTGGGCAACTCGGATTTCCAAGCCAAACTTGACAAAATCAAAGGTGAGCACGGCTGCTGAAGCAAGACAACACTCCAGATTGACGCGCATCTGTTCCCTCAGAAAAACTTGAAAGGGATTTCGGAAATTTCCGAGACACCATCGCACTTTCATGCCAATTCGATGAGGGGTGGACAGGCAGAAGAAGCTACCTAGATGGTCGTCAAGTACTTCACAAAGCTCTTTCATGCCTCAAAACTGGTTCT